GCCTGTGGCAGATCTCCAGTTGCAGAGCATGGCTCTGCTTGTCCCTGACTTGTCCTCTTCCCTCTGTACCGCAGAAGTGGCCGACGCCGCAGGCTCTGGCGCAGGCATCCCTGGAGGTGAGCATTTCTGGCTGGGACTGGGTGCTCTCCCTGCCCTCGTAGCTCTTCATCTAACACTGTGCCACGTCTCTTGGAGCAGGAGGTGAACGAGCTGTGGGCCGGACTTGGCTACTACTCGAGAGGGAAGCGTCTGCAGGAGGCAGCAAGGAAGGTGCCCTGGTGCTGGGCTGTGGGGGGCATTTCCAAAGCCCTCTGCAGCCCATGTGTTGGTGCTGGCTCCTGCCTGCCCTGCCTCGCTGGGGCTGTGTGCTGCTGGCACAAGGCTACAGGGGCTGGGATCCCGTCTTACTATGGGTAAAATGGGTTGCACGCACGCATGCTGGCTGCTCCCCTGACCTCGGCCCCCTCCCTGCCAGGTGGTGTCTGAGCTGGCCGGCCAGATGCCCAGGACGGCTGAGGACCTGCAGAAGCTGCTGCCGGGAGTGGGCCGATACACGGCCGGAGCCATCGCGTCCATCTCGTACGGGCAGGTGAGAGCTGGGTGTCAGTGGACATGTCTCCCCTCTCTGCCATCCAGCCCCGCTCCCGGCAGGGTCCTACTGCTGGGTCTCACAAGCCAGGGGCTCCCCAGGGCTGTGCTTGGCTCTGGCTCTCCCCTGCTTTGCAGTGCATCTCACCCACCACCCAGCTTGGCCTGTGGGTCGGCCTCGTGTGTGTGTCCCCTCCATCCTGGGAGCACCCCAGCTCCCTGCTTTGCCAGGAGCACGGGCACCTCCCAGCATGGTAACCCCAGCTCCTGGTCCCAGGCTACTGGCGTCGTGGATGGGAACGTGATCCGGGTCCTGTGCCGCCTGCGGTGCATCGGTGCTGACTCCAGCAGCCCGGCCGTCATCGAACGGCTCTGGTAAGGGGAACACTCCATCCCCGCTCCGAGCTGAGGCGATGGTGGCTGTGCTTGTTGGTGGCCAAGGGCAGGATCATGCGGGAGCTGTGGGGAGCTGAGCCTGAGCTGAGCCTGTGAAGGGAGAGAGGTGTGGGGTGCGGGAGCTCTTGGGAAGCTGGTGCTGCTGGGAGTGGTGGAGAAAGGAGCCATGTTGCCTCTGCCTACCAAAGAGCATCCCCCCTCACTGGCAGGAGGTGGGCAGAGGTACCGGAGCCCTCTTCCCACAGAGCCCCGTGCCGCTCATTGCTGTTTCTCCCAGGGACATGGCCAATGCCCTGGTAGACAGGAGCCGTCCAGGGGATTTTAACCAAGCCCTGATGGAGCTGGGGGCAACTGTGTGTGTGCCCAAGGCCCCGCTGTGTGGGGAGTGCCCCGTGAAGCAGCACTGCCGAGCGCGGCGCAGGGTAAGTACAGCCCTAAAAATCTGTCTCCTCCCTGCCTGTGGGTGGCTGGGGGCTGCCAGCTGTCCCAGTGGGGTGGCAGAAGGTCACCCCAGGTCCCCTCTGAAGCTTCTTACAAGCCATCCCTGTCCCAAACCAGTGCTGCAAGCTGTTCTTGGGTGGGCATCACCTCCTCATCCTCACCGGGTGCTGGCCCCGAGGGGTCACCATGCATGGGGACAAGGTGGGCTGGTGGATGAGCCTGTCCCCATTCCTGTCCCCCCTTGCAGGTAGAGAAGGAGCTGGTCTTCGCCTCTCAGAAGCTGTTTGGAAAACCTGCCTCAGTGCCTGATGTTGAGGACTGTGGTAAGTGCCTGGGGAGATCTCTGTTGTGGCTCCAGGTCTGGGCCCTGCGGTGACTGTTACATCGGTGTTCGCAGGTGTTGGGGGCTGTCCCCTGTGTCCCCCAGCTGCAGAGCCATGGGACAGCAGCCTGGGGGTGACCAACTTCCCCCGGAAAGCAGCGAAGAAGCAGCCGCGGGCAGCGCGAACAGCCACGTGTGTGCTGGAGCGGAGGGGCTGCCACGGGGCCCCGGAGTACCTCATCGTGCAGAGACCCAGCTCGGGTAATGGGGCTTGGGCAGGAGGGTGGCGAAGGCACTGCGCGGCCCCTTCCCACCTTACACGAGGGTCGGAGCAGCCTGGGAGTGGGATGTGATGAGACTCAGTGTCCCCAGATGTGCCTCCTGCTGGCTCATGTTCCCGTTGTGCCCCCTGCCCAGGTCTCCTGGCCGGTCTCTGGGAGTTCCCCAGCCTCCCGCTGGCTCAGGGTCTGCAGGAGGAGAAGCAGAGGGAGGTGCTGGCAGATCACCTCCGGGCCTGGACGGGGCGGCCGGTGGTGGCGGGAGGCCTGCGGTTCATTGGAGAGGTGAGCCTGGAGCCAGAGGCATGCAGCATGAGCCCCCTGTGCTCAGCTGCGGGGGACATAGCACAGGGGGAGGAGGGTTCCCCTTCCCCGCTGTCACCCCTCCCAAGCCCTGCCCTGCTCCTCAGAGCCCTGGCAGACTCAGTGCACTTGTGAGGCAGCTGAGAAAGCAGTGCATCCCCTGCTGCCTGCGCATTTCCGTGTCTTCTCATCCCCTCGCAGGTCGTCCACATCTTCTCTCACATCCACCAGACATATGTGGTCTACTCCCTGCCCCTGGATGGGGACGTGACCCTGGACCCTGCCTTGTCCCCATCCCGCTGGGTGACAGAGAAGGAGTTCCATGCCTCAGCTGTGTCCACGGCCATGAAGAAGGTACTGGGGGGACCTGGGCCTTTCCTCTCTTCCCTCTATGTCCCTGGGGTCCCGGGCATCCCCCCAACACCTGTGGGCTGTCCCGGCTCCAGTTCAGCTCTGCACTCTCTTGTGCTTCCTTCAGGTGCTGAAAGCGCGTGAGAAGCAGCGTGGGGAGGAGAGCAGCCCTGGCAAGGTGGGCATCGCTGCAGGGAGTGCAGCCCTGGGAGCCGCTCCATATTGCCGTGGGCCAGGCCCCGGTGTGCGGTGCTGGAGCCCCCCTGGGCTGTGGGGTCAGGCAAAATGTTGGGTTTAACCCCAGCAGGCAGCTAAACACCACACAGCC